GCTCGGGTCCTTGAACACTAAAGATGTCATTGGTAGAGTGTGACCGAGTTGAACTCTTTCAAAGGGGTCGGTTTAAAGGATTTAGCGAGGTCTGCTGGGAAACAGTTGTTTGCCAGAATCCCTGTATTCAGTTGTTAATGAGAGTGAAGTAAAAACTCCCGAAACATGTCTTCATTACCATAGAAGTACTCTGTGTGGATCCCTTCTCTTTTACTTTAACTTATTCATCTTTTTCAGGATCTTCAGCAGTTACAACTCATGTAGTTTAACATGTATATATATTTTAATGGTAAGATTAGCAGAAATGTTAAGTACCAGTAAGGATGAATATGCAGTATGATTAAAGACAAACTCCAAGTTTACCTTTTGTTTTGTTTTCTTGGTTGCATTGGATTTTTATCAGTGACAGTATTTTAAAAACTTATGGTGTAACAGCTTTGGTTTCTGTTCCTATGGCTCAAAGTCTTTTTAAAAAGACGCCAGAGTTTCAAATATGTTGCATGCTGATATTGATTGGAACACCCGGATCTTTGTTTTGCGAATTCCACCAAATAATTTAAGTAAAGAAGAACAATACTTATTTGGTATCCTTGTTCTCGTAGCCAAAAAGAATGATAACAATATGTTGGTATAAACCTTTACCACCTACTGTAAATCAATGGAAAGAGAAACAGGTGAACGTTTATACAATGGAGAAATTAACAGCAAAATTAAACTTGACCACTGGTTTAATTAAGAAAAGATGGAACCCTTTGAAGACATATTTCCTATTAATATTGTAGTAAGTAAGATAAATGTAAACACACAGGTACATATTTTATAGGCATACTTTACATATATTTCTGTTATGATAAAAATAAAAGTCACTCGAGATTTTTCCTTTATCACATCCCCCCAAGTAAAAAAAATCCTGGATTTTCAGCTCGCCGACTTGTTTGGTTGTTGTTGCTCAACTGTTTGTCTGGTTGTATTGGAAATTGTCATTTCTGGCTTATTGTATTAAAAATTGATTTTTAATTTTGATCTGATAAAATTAAGTCTTTGCTAAAAACAAAAAAAAGACACCAGAGAAGGTATCATATTAAACACTGTCTCAGTGTTAAACAAGGTGTTATTGGTTTAAAGTTGTGCTCCAACTGTTATATTTGCTTTTCTGTCCGCTTTTATTATGTTTTTATCTTTATTTGCTTTTATTCCACTGTTATTTTCCTTCTGTTTTGTTATTTCAGTCATATAAAGCACTTTGGAATGTTTTTGTTCTGGCTTGTGCTGTATAAATAGACTTGTCTTGCCATCCCCACCCCCACATGTTGCTGTGAACTGCCAGTTCCAGACTCCCACTTTTTACCCTTGCTTAACTTGAGTGTTTGTAGAGAATATTAAAAGACTTCGGGTGGATACTAAGCTACACACCAGACCAGATAAAGTGTCTGATATGATTAAAAACAAATAACATGAAGTAGGAATGGAAACAAATATCGACTCATGATTTAATTAATAATTAATGGTTTTATTATTTGCTCCAATCAACTGTAAAACTAACTTATAACAAATTTCTTTCAGTGTTACAATGTTACCACCAACCACTAGGGGGTGCCGCAGTTTATTCATAGGCGGACTCTCACTGGTAATTGCAAGAGAAGTAGTGCCGCAGGCAATGAGGCATGCTAGAGCACAAACATGTCCAGTCCAGAATTGTTTACACCGTTTATTGCCAACAAGGACAGAATGAGCTTTATGTGATTCTGTTTCTAAAAACAGAAACATAAATCGCTCGAGAGCTGTCCGGGTTTATTTAAACTGTTTAATGTCTACAAATGCAGAATGTTGTTTTGTTTGTAAATATAAAAACTAAATAGTCTTCTAAATAGCGCCCATTTTGCCGTACTTCATGGCAGAGCCGCATCAACTTCTCTGCTGTGCTCAGAAGGTGATGATGTGATGATTGAAAACTTGAGAACATCACACAACATTTCTAAAATGATAGAAAAAGACCTGTTATTATGTAGCACAGTGAAAGGAGAAGACTTTTGTGAATTTATTCACAATATGGAGCCAAGTTAAAACCCCCAGTTTAAAAGCGACGCTAAAGGGTAGATTAGACTTCTGCAACCGCACACATGAAATGTTGCTTGGGTCTGATCGCAAACCAGTTTTGCTGGTATGCTTTTGCACCGTCGGTCTGGAATTTCTAGGGATCCACAGCAGTTTCCTGCCAAAGCACAAGGGGGAGCCTATTCGAGAACTCGTGAGAACTTCACATATTTATCTCTCAGTCTCTTCCAACTTTGTAAACACTCCTTTGGATCTTGCTCAAGGATCTGGCTGATCTCCCTCCAGGGGTTTGCAGAGACCTTGGCATCTTTATATAATTTGTGTGAGGCATCGTCAAAGTGGTTGTACTTCCCAACCTCCTCGATTGACCTTTCATCGTAGTTGTCCATTGTAGTTTTTCCTCGGTTTTTAAAAATAGAGAAGAATTGAGAAGGACGTCCACACAGACAGCTGGAAAGGCATACCAAGGACCAGTCACAGCTGCTTTTTGTCTGCGCACGTTTGTGACCGTCCGATGCGTAGTCAGGATTTTTTTGAGGTGCGCAACAACGGTTGCACAACTCACAACGTACAGAGACAGATTTGACGGTTGCAGAGGCTTCGCGTCAGAAGCATAAACTGGCCTTAACACCGCAAAGTCATTCCCATCACTGATCACGCAGAGATATTATGTCATTTTGGGCCTCTGTGCCCCTCCACGTGGATCCGCGTGGACAGAATTTCTGCATGGAGAACCTAGGAACATTAGTACCGGTAACTATAAATTAATCAGGTGGTTCCTCTTAGAAAGATGGTGTGAATGTCCACCATTCTGTCTAAGAGCAGGAGCAGAGCATTAGCCTAAGGTTCCAAGATCATGGCAATGAAAATGAACTTGCTTAACGGAAATTTCTTATAAAAATGTTTTTTTTTCGCTGTGGTGTTTTTCTGGTCATATCAATAATTAGTGTATTTATCCCGTCACAGAGTCCCATTAGCAACAGCCAGACGTCACTACTGCCAATAAAGAGGAAGGTGACAGGAAGTTGTAGGAGGACAGTTGATGTGTTTTGGACATTAGAAAAATAAGGACAATGTTTGATGCACTTCTAAAAAGCAGCTAGTGTGAGCAAAATGTCCTCCAAGAGGAACGTATTTTGGCAATCCAGAGAAATTGTGGTGATTTTTCAGCCAGAGTGACTTGTACACCAAATCTGTGTAAAGAAAGCAGCATCTAACAGATCCATCAGTCAGGGATTATCGTAGAAGATGATCTCCAGCATATTAATGCTTTAAAACACTCTAATATTAATTCCTCTCATAAATTTGATGTAAATTCACACACCAATGAAGCTCATTTTTTAATATCAATAAAAGGCATGAAAACTTTTTAAACCTTTGCACAGGGTTACCGCGGATCCTTAAAAAGTCTTAAAAGGCATTGAATTCTTCAAAATAATACTAAGGCCTTAATTGGTATTAAAATGTCTTAAATCAGTCTTTCGTAGGTCTTAATTTTTAAAACATCATAAATAGGATTATTTTTATTAGGATTTATTTTTGTAATCTAAATAAAGCGTTAAAATTTTCCTTTTTATAAAAAAAAAAAAATAACGGCTTGCTATTATTGGTTCCGTCCCGATAGCGAAACCAATAAAAGCGTTGTTGCGGCCGGGACATTTGGGAGATGCGCCATTAACTTTTTGTCTGGAAAATATGATCAAGTGTAAATGTAGCGAAAATTGTCTCCAGCCAAGAGTTTTCTCCATGGCTAAAACCAGGGAACAACATGAGGCTCAGTGGATTTATGCAAGAAGCGATTCAAGCTCGGAACGATGGGAATTAAGGCAGTGGAGTCACACATGCAAAGCACGAAACACAAAGCGTCAAAATCGAGTTACCGAGAAACAGCCGGTATTTCTCAGTTTAGTTCCACCCTTGTCTCTGCAACGCCTCCACTTATCACCAAATCAAACATACTAAGAAAACGATACAAAGAAAAATAGCTGCAAAAAAGACTTAGCACTGGTTATGTTGTGGCTTTAAAACTGATTTGTTTTGTTCCCTGCTAAAACAAAGTTTGTGAATTCACTTAAATAATTGTTAAAATATATCTGTCATTTGTGTGTTTTTAGCTTTCTTCCTGTATGGGAAGCTTTTCAACATTTGAAACATTAGTGCAGTGGTTTATGTTAAAATAAACCTTTGGGTTAAGTTGTCGCAAGCAGGTTTTTCTTGTGTTTCTTGTGAATTTGGTCTTAAATTTTTATTTCAAGTAACATTAAAAAGTCTTAAAAAGTATTGAATTTAACTTGCCTTATGCTGTAGGAACCCTGTTTGCAGTGCTGCTAAAACATGAACCGTGAAAATAAAGACCTCTTTAAGATTTTACCTTCATGAATCATTTAGTTGGTGTTCTTATTTTAGTTTTGGTGTCTGCTCCCGATTTTTGCTGCAGGGATTATCGTTCCAAACTTCTCAGGTTAGATAGTGACATCAAAGTTATTTACTGGTAAAGCTTGTGACAAATCATCCGTCTGTGCTGTACCAAAAGCTCAGTGGAAACCCTGTACAAATTTAATCACTGTTTTTCCCCGTAAAAGCCTCTGTGGTAGTTTAGAGAGCTCCCTGACAACAGGAAGTGTCATGTCCTACATTTCTGGTGCCAGCAAACTGGTTTATGTTGAATAAATGGATGTATTAATAGAGTAACCGGACCGCAGCCATTCACAGCAGAGAGGAGAGGTGAGCCTTACAGCTAAATATTATGCTACAAACCAGTGGCTCGTGTGAAATGCTTCCTGGTACTGAATCGCTTTCACCTCTAAATCGTTTTTGGTTGTTTAGTGAACACATTAAAACTCTGTGATAGTTTGTTGTTCGGTTGATTAAATAAAGCAAGCGGGTGAATCATTTGGCTGTAAAATCAGAGACTCACTGCCTCGTCTTTCTTTTGTCCCTCTCAGACTGTAACGCTAAGACCTTTGAGGCTGTGAAATGTGAAAAAAAGCTCCAGTTTTTCACCCTCAGGTAAGAATCCTCTTTTTAGCTCTTCTCCTTCTCTCATGCCCTTCCTTCCTCAGCGTTGAGTTGGTGTGGCGTGAAATGTTTTCTCCTAGAACTTAATTAACAGGCTAACAGCTGTAAAACCACAGTGTTTATGTAAATCACATCCACCGATGCTGGGAGCTTCACTTCTCCTTCTGCTGAGCTGTTGCGGCCGTGAAAGCACAATAAAACTAGATGTGAAATACACTTATTTAACTCCTGTAAATCTTTTTCTTTTTTCGTTTAACTGGACAGCGGGTGTGCTTACTGTGAGATTCACAATTAATTACTGCAGCTTTGGTTATTGGATGAAAAGGACTTCTAAACAGAGAAATCAGAGCAGCTCAGCCTTTATCTCTGGATTGTGTCATGGCCCTTATCATTCAAAAGCAAAGGAAAGTCACTCCGGATAATGAATAAAGGTGAAAAATACGGACGCGCACTGCAAAAATTATAATAAAAGTATGTTTTTCTTGTAATAGACGTATTTTCCCTTGATGTGA